TTTTTTAATCAATAGATCCTACTTCATTCATTCGTGATTTATATTTAAGATAGCTTTATTATGTATTACGGGAGATTATGACTCTATCATTTGACGTTTAATGAAAAAATTTCATTTATTACAATTTTATATGGAGATGGATGATATTATAATTTTTATGTCTAAATTAAATCGTATTAAAATCGTTTTAGTCTATCTCTAATATTGAATTGTCGGTATTATATAAATTCAAGATTTTTAATTAGTAACAAAATCAATATTACTGTAGATATCGTTTATAATAAATAAGAAATTTTGATTGGCCAGTTGGTACAAGATCTGCAAAGAGACCAATCATGATGCGATATTCAATTTACGTGATCAACCAATCACGAGAAAGTCCTCGGCATCGCGAAATTTACGGCAGTGCAATCACGTGATATTATATAAAATTCAATCTTCCCCAGCGTCGCCGTGAAAAAGTTACTGTCACGTGATAGTATCCGTGACGTATTAAAAAATCTTTAAGTTCGTTTAAGTTAGGGTTATGGGGCCAAGTGTTAGTGGGTTTATAGTAAAATTGCCCAAGAAAATTTTTTTGTTAGAACGCAGAAGGTCTTTTGAAAAAACGAACGTTTTGTTTTGATCTTCCTGATTGTGTTACGTTACACCAAAGCGAGACTCGCTATTTGTCGCTCATCACGTGACAGTAACTTTTTTACGGCGATCCTGGGGTAGTTTAAAATTCATCTACCCTAACTGCTAACTAACCAATCACGACTTAATTACGTGATCATGCAATGTCCGTAGATTTCTCGCCCTGGCATTAGGGTAAATGGCACGGCTAAAATATCTTGCGCGCCATATGGCATGCCAACCGCTAAAGTTCGTGCCAGGATGCCACCCTGGCATGCCATTAAACCACGCGATAATATACTCAATTGGGATTGGTCAGTTATCGTCTACTATAAAATACCCTTTCGGAATACTTCGGAACATTGCTCCAATTTTCTTTTCGGAATTTAGATTATTTTATTTTCTATTCGGAACATATATAAATGGCATGCCTATAGGCAATCTGGGCATTGGGCATGCCTATGGCATGCCACCATAGGCATGCCACCCTGGCATGCCAATGACCTCCGTGCCACTCACCCTACCTGGCATGCCACTAAACCACGTGATAATTACATCAATTTGGATTGGTTAGTTATCAAAGCTAGGATTCATTCGGAATTTTTCGGATGATTCCCAAATTTTAGCTCGTTTGTTACCAATACCTATTAACTACCGCATACTGTAGTTCCAAAAATAAGCATCCCTGACCCGCACTATACCAATTTTGATCTGATCTCGGCCAGCATTACGTGAAAAAAAACTGTCCTAGTGTTACCAACCTAAAAAATTTCACTGGCCAATCAGATTTCAAGATCAGGTGTGACGCAGAAGAAACGCAAAAAATCAAGACAACCCAAAAAATCGCTTATAACTCAACATTTTATATATGAAACTACCTTTTGCGCATTAACAAAAAGTTTCCTTGCGAAAGTTTGGTATTACTAAAGTTTTTTTTAACCTAACTTCATAGCAAAACCTAACCTTAAACTAACAACGAAATTTTTTAGGTTGGTAACGCTAGATCAGTTTGAAAAAAAGGTGCTTATTTTCGAAACTATATGGTACTTGAATTATTGGCTTGCTAATAACCACTCACCCTAGATCAACCAAATCGGTCGATATGCATAATATTATCATATAACCAAAGAAGTTATTCATATTTCCCAATATGGAGGTTCGTTAAAGCCATGTACGTCATTCGCATAATGATCTACATACTGCATAAATTATATTCTTGATATTTATATAACCCACTAACCATAGCTGTATCAACAAAGTAACTCCGTTCTCCAATATGTAAATCAATTATCATTATCCAAATATTCACGTACATACGTAACAGCTGTTAGTTTCTTAAATTGGTTACTAATCGATGGAAATTATATGGCTCGGCCGAGCTACATCAAGTATTGATAAAAATTTATAAACTTTCGAAATCAAAATCTTTATTGAATTCGGCCGACCAAATTTTTATCAATTGTCCCAGAATTTATGTGACCAACTGTAATTAATTAAAAAATCAAGAATAGCTATACAATTTATATATGTAGATAATGAGGCCATACAAATTTAATTCCTTGGTTTTCATGTGACTCAAATATATCGGCCGACCAGCCTTTTTTTTTAAAAAAAATTTCATATATAAAAATTTTATAACAAATCAAATTGTTTTTTAAATGTCTACCTAGTTATTAAAACATATAAAAAAAAACTTCTAGAAGTTTCAAATTTTGACTCGGCCGAGTTATGAAAACCAATTAATTAACTAATTTTGCATGACTTAATATATGCTACTATGATTAACAGGAATCTTAAATTCCGCACTGCCGAATTCTGTAATAATGCATTGAAATGCCGCAATAACATGTTGCAGTTCTATAACTCAATAATTTTTACCGTAAATTATATATTTTTGTTGTCGCGCCAATTTTAAATAGGTTATATGAGCAACGCCGAAGGAAACCAGCCGGAATTAGTCAAATGAGAGACATATATAAAATCACTTATACACCATATACGTCCCTGATCAGGGCTGAGTTTGATAAATAATCAATAACAAACTTGAAAGCCGGAGTCTAGTTTTTTTTTTTTTTGGCGTCACTCATATAATTAACACAAAGTAAATTTATAACCAATTTGATGATAAGATCATAAAAAAAGATGTCCAATACTTTGATTGGTGATACTGTCAAATGGTAATGCAATTAGGAAATATAATAAGTTAATTGTGACAAATCAGTTTTTAATATAGGGTGCGATTGTTTCATAATTATTACACAATGGAATAACTAATTATGCCCTTGCACCATAAAAATGTTTACCCAGCTTTTTTTCCCCGGGGCTACGGAATATTAAGTTCTGTAGTACAACTATAAAACAAAATAAAAAGTATATATCGATATCGAAATTCCACATGGAATAAACTTATAATAAAATTTGTACATAAAAGATATCCGCGTGGCGTTTAGATAATGATAAAGGTATTTTCAATAGTTTGCATATTATTGATAAATATGTATTGTTGTTATAATATATATTTTAATATTTCTAAGAACATTCTTTTAGAAGTCTTTAGCGTCACTGTTAGTTACATTTGAAGTGTAGCACCAGTCATAGTGCAGTTCAAAGATACCACCATCCTGTTATCAGATTGTAGAAAAATTTCTTTTACAGCTTAAGCTAGTAATAATCTACAAAAAATTTATTGATATTATATGGGGTTTTGCATATTAAAACAGCCCATTTTTACAATTTTTTAAAAAACCTTTTATTTTGAATAGATATCTATTCAATACAAAAGTTGTCATAAGTAATAAAGGCTAATTGTATAGTAAAAAGATACACAAAATAAACTTGTAGATCATCGTTAATTACATATTAACATCCCATATTAGGGGTCGTTTAAAGCAAGGTGCGTTAGAATTACTTTTTTGATGCAGTTAGGGTTACGTCTTTGATGCAGTAATGGTTAGTAGTTTATATAAATATCAAGAAGATAATTTATGCAGCATGTAGATCATTTCCAAGTTTATACCAAACGCACCTTGCTTTAATCGACCCCCCATATTAGTAATGATCTGCAAAGTTTTATTATACACAATTTCAGGCAGATTACAGACAAAAGAATTGGGAATCTTTCCGTTCTTCAAGCTTTTCTGACTAGAAACCTTTTTGCCTTTATGAAGGAAGCTTTTGCTTCATGAGATCTTAGTTTATGTAACTGATTTTCTCCGGCTATAATATGTACATATTATAACAAATCGATTGTCGATTGTAATTTTCCTTAATTTTCCTCAATTCTCCGATATGAAGGAAGCTTTTGCTTCATGAGATCATAGTTTATGTAACAGATTTTTTCCGGCTATCAATATGTACATATTATAACAAATCGATTGTCGATTGTAATTTTCCTTAATGTTCCTTAATTCTCCTCAATTTTCCGATAGTAAAAAATCGTTCTTTATCTGTAAAGAAATGTCAACCCGGAAAATACCAGACGATCTCGATCTTCTTTTGGATATATTGTATTTGTATATGACGGGTTATAGTCATCGTATGTCAGTTTATTTATAAAAAGATTAAAGTAGTAAGACATCTTATCTTAAATAGGATTTAACCGCGACATCTCTTTTTTTAAATAAAACAAACAATAAACTTCTTCATACTTGATTTCCCGCTTATGGAATGACAGAGCACAAACATTTAAGGAATAAATAAAATATTTTGAACTCATAAAACCATTTTCTTTTTTATAAAATACACAATCATTAATTCGGTAATTATTGATTTAAACCGCGTATCTACAATTGATCTAAACATTTAAGGAATAAATAAAATATTTTGAACTCATAAACCCATTTTCTTTTTTATAAAATACACAATCATTAATTCTGTAATTATTGTTTAAACCGCGTATCTTCAATTGTTCTAAAATACCGAATTTCCTTTGCATTTACTGCTATTAGATAATTTACCGGAGACATATTTTATATAGCGGTTTATCGCGTGATGATTTATCATCTATTGCAATATATTGTCTTTTTTTTATATAAATAAAAAGACCATTTCCCTCCATACCAGGTCCAACGAAAATCAAATCAATTACAAATAATTTTTTACATACAATTGTAATTAATTGCAATTAAAATCAATTTTCTTTCATTTTACCACGTAGAGCGTTGCATACAATACTTTGGGTGGCATAATTTTTAAAAATCGAAAATAGTGATTAATAATCTTGACGGCGATATAAGCTAATTACGTAAAATTGCAATTAATTGACGCATTGTGGCTGCGCCATCAATCAATTAATTCAATTAATTGAGTTCCCCCAACAATCAATTATTCAGTAAGCCTGCTCTATATTACATCAACACTGACCTAATCAAAATATTAGCGTTAAAATGAGCGACAACCGTGACAACCTAACAGTTAAAACTGTCATAAAACTTTTTATTACGCGAGTTTGTACTCAAATGAACCTTAATGAAGGTACTCAAATGAACCTTAATGAAGTTAACCTTAATGAAGGTGCTCAAATGAATTTTAATGAAAATGTTAATGAAGATATCATCGAGCAGATTTCAAATGTTCTCTCCCCCGAAGAACGTACCTTCTTTGGAAACTTAACCGATGATCTGAATTCTCACAGGAAACTAGATAATTACAGTATACAAAATGCCATCCTTGACGGAGGCGAATTTTCTACCAACCTTACTACAAAAATAAAAGAATACATCGCTAAAAAAAGAACTTATGACCCAACGAATGTATACATCATGGGTGGCAGTTTCACATAATTTGAAACACAGATGTGGCAAAATCGGCAAAATCGGCAAAACTTGCAACACTTGAAAAAAACTGGCAAAACTGACATATATACTTCTTACGTAGATAAATTTCGATATTATTTAGCAATCCCTGTGTGATGTATAAATTATTATTTTTTTCGGGTTTTGTTTTATTTTTTTCATTATGGGCTACGTAGCATTTCATTTTTATGCGTATTTTTAAATTTTCTCCATGTCTGTCTAATTCTAAGCAAGTATTATGTAGAGTCTAAATAAGCTATGATATGAAACCTTATTAAAACATTGATAATAAAATCTGATATTAATAAAAAGTAAATATTATAACATGTTACATTAGGATGATAAGGACTAAGTAATCAAAACTATGTCAGATATGTTGATCATTTTACTGTGATTAAATTATTATTAAATTCTTTAATTTATATTAAAAAATAGAGTTAATACTTCAATCCATTTTTATTATAAAAAATCCGGATATAATATGAGTGCTGCCAAGGGAAAAGGGAACATTCGGCATTATACTATAAAATTTTTCAAAACTTTAATCAAAGATATCTTAACAACCACTTGACCAAATTTAATAAAAATTTTTTTATTTGAATTCTACAGTCTGTAGAATCCACATAAAAAAAAATTTATTAAATTTGATCAAGTGGTTGTTAAGATATCTTTGATTAAAGTTTTGAAAAATTTTATAGTATAATGCCGAATGTTCCCTTTTCCCTTGGCAGCACTCATATATCCGGATTTAAAAATACTATGCTGTATATATCACATGACATAGTAATAAATCCGGATTAAGATATTAACTCTATTAAAAAAAGCACAAAATTCTAAAGGATTCACACAACTATTTCACTTCTTCCACTTCTTTCACTTATTAACTCGATTAAAAAAAGCCCAAAATTCTAAAGGATTCACACAACTATTTCACAAATTTCACAAATTTCTCTTGACTAAAAACTAATGTTGCGGCAAGATTGGTTTTCGTTTCCGAAATACTTCGGATTTAATAAGGTGATCCGAAATAAAAATTCCAAATTCCGAAATCAAGACAAAAATCCGATATAAATCCGATATAAATCCGATATAAATCCGATAAAATCAATATTTCTGATATTATCCAAAATTCAAATTCTATAATAATAAATCACACGAAGTGTTGCCTATCCTACTCAACAGACTATTTATATCAATTTGAATAATATATTTCAAATACTGTTGAATTCCCAAAACCGATTCTGTAAAGTCGATAACCTGTTGGATCTAATAAAAAATTAATTCTCTATGTCTGTTCTAATAGTTTATATAATGTTTTCAAATCTAATGACCCCTCAAAATCTTTCCACCATGCATATCCGCTTGACAAGTTTAAAGTACGTATCTTTTAATGAACCATTCAATTCTTTAATGGATATATTGTGATCCAAATTATTTATATATATTGCAAGTGCACTAATAAATTAACAACTTTACACATACATAAGTAGTTTATGTAAAATATTTGTGAATTTGAATACTGTTAAACCCCCAAAACTGATATGTGTGGTTAATAGATTTTGTTGGTATTGAGAGTTATCAGATTTGAAAATATCATAGGCTTTAGATTCATATAGTGGAAGCAGACATGATAGATTAATTTTTTATTAGATTTAACAGGTTATCAGATTGGTTTAACAGTATGAATCTAATTGTTTATAATGTTATCAAATCTGATAACCTCTCAATACTAATACAAAATCTGTCAATCATGCATAACAGTTTGGGAAGTTTAACAGTAGTTGAAACTGGGCAGCGAAGCTGCTCGCATATGCGATTGTCTAATCAATATATCAATTACAGAATTATAACCAAAATGATTGTATCACCTTTTTGAACATGACCAATTATAGCCTCAGAAAATTTCGGGCTCTTCGGATTGAATCTATAATATGGGCAATTACGGATTTTGTCAGACATTCCAGGATGTTGATCAAAACTAGTATCGCCCGCATTTAGGATTCGGATTTGGCGAAATATTTGGGTTTCGCCGCAACATTACTGAAAACTATTTGTAAAGATAATTACGTTCGGTTTTCACAGATGTTTTTAATAAAGTCTTTATTTAAATACAATTTTTCTTTATTTTTTTCATAAAATTTAATATATCCTATTAGTCAAAGTCTCAAATTTAATATATCAATAAGGAGATTTTGAACGTAACCTTATTTTTCGACATTTTATAAGCAAATTGGGAAAATTTAAAGATAATTCAATTCTCTATAGCGAGTTGAATCATTTTAAAATAGATCGATTTTTAATAAATATATCGATATCTGATATTAATATGTATATATTAATATCATGAAATTGGTTTTGTCGGAGCAAATGACTGGTTGACATGTGCCGCGTAGCGGCACGTTTCAGCCAATCATTTGCTCTGACAGAAGATATTTATCAACATCATTGGCTAACTGAGTTTTAATTTGAATAAACATGGTCACAACAAAAAGAAATAAATCTATGATCATGCCGGATAACTTTAAAAAAATTGATCTTCATTCGTGTAACATGAAAAATCTACAATATCTTAAATTGACACAGTTTTGATTACTTGGTCCATTTATAACCCTAATGTTACATGCTTATTTGTAACAACTTACTTAGTACAGCCAATGAAAACTCGTGCAACCCAAACCCTAACTCTAACTACTATTGGCTAACTGCAATGTTGTAATCGTAACATGTTACAAATACATTTATTCTAATAAAACATGATAAAATTCTTATAAATTAAAGTAAATAAAGCAATAATTTTGAAATTTATATAATGTTTTTAAAATAAGTGCATGACCTTCTTAAATGCATATTAATTTTCTGGCCCAAATATATACTAAACTCCCATAAATGCATTTTTTATTATTGTTCTCTAAATGCAAGCCCTCAAAAGTTTGGTCCCGATGCTATGCATTTATGGAGGGTTGACTGTATATGCAAAATTAAGTGATAGAAAATATATATAAGATAATGCGTATAATCAAATTTTAAATTTTAAAAAATTTTAAATTTATCTTAAAAAATTTTAATTTCATAAGCTATTTGATATTCTCTAATGCTCTAATTAATGAGTCAACGATTGCAAAAAATTATCGTCAACTATGCAGAAGGGCCAGATGCAAAATCAGTAAGAATGCAGGAAACTATTACTAAGTGTAAATGGAGAGCTGCTATAACAAAATGTTCAGTAAAAATGTTTAGTTAGAAAATTGGTATCTTCCATTATCGAGTCACTACCGTGAAGTCTTGTATTATACAAATAATCTCTCTTTAAAAATTAATACTAGAAAATAGAAATCCAATGTCACCATTGTAACTAGTGTCCCACCAGGTAAAGAAAATCTTGCCACGAATCAACCACGATATATCATCTTACCACAAATATATTTATAATTAACAAAACTAAATTAACGCTAATTTTACCTGATATTCATTGACAATATTTTCTCTGCAATTGAATTATACTAGGAAAACAGGTGCTGTTGTAAGTCCGAAGCGAATTAAAAAAATTATCCAGTCAATTATACGATTGGTCACGTGGGCGGACAGGGACAAAATTTTGCTTAGACCTCTAGTATGTGCAGGTCACCTAAAATTGTCCAATCATTTATGTGATTGGTCACGTGGGCGGGCAGACGGACAAAATCTTACCCTGGATCGCAACAAAATTTTGCAGTCACGTGATTACAGAAAAAAATCTTTAAAGCTTATTTAGGTTTGGGTTAGGGTCTGTTTTAGGATGGTTCTAATAGTAAAATCGCCCAAGGAAATTTTTTTGTTAATGCACGGAAGGCGGTTATCTATGCAGAATTTTGAGTTATAGGTGATGTTTGACAAAACGAACGTTTGTTTTGAATTTTCTTGATTGCGTAACGTTACACCTGATCCTGAAATCTGATTTGTTTGAGATCACGTATCTGCAGAATTTTGTTGGCGATCCTGGGGTAGTTGACGGACAAACTTCTGCTCAGGCCTCTAGTATGTGCAGATCATCAATCAATCACAATTTAGCCACGTGCCGGACAGACGGACATTTTTTAAGTTTTACTTGTACATGTAAGTCCTGGACAATGGACCTTGTGATTGGTTGATCACATAAATTGAATCAAACATAGTGGGCTTTCATTGTGATTGGCCAATTTTTGTAGATCATCCCGTGAAATAGTAAAAATTTTATTGGTTAATCGAAATTAATCGAAGTTCTAAACTAAATCGTCTTATCATGAAATCTCAATAACTTTAAAGCTATATAGTCTTGAAGCGGACAAAATTCCAATCTAAATTTTATTTTAAAAAAAATCATAACATGCTACTAATCAAAAAAGAAAAAAAGTACCAAAAACAAAAATGCATGAAATAAATGTTTGGCCCTATTCCAGAACACTATGGCTAATAAAAAAATAATCAAAAACAATATTTAGTGCTCGCTCTAATATCAAGCTGATTAGTTTTATTTAATAATCATTATACAGTTACAGTGCCACTACTTTTCTTTAACTCTTCTCACGAAATCTATAAACTTTATGACTCTCAACTTCATATTCTTAGCCTATATTATAATCAGGTTTCTATATTAGTTGGGATTATGAAGAATAAGTTTTCACAAAATACGTAAAAGACGGCTTAAATTGCCGAGTTTAATTGATTTACGTACCTATAAGTTGAACGTTCAAACATACCTCTTATCTAACTTCCGAATTACTTCTCGGATTACCGAATTACTTTGACATTTTATAAAACAAGGAATATACTTTAAGATTTTTTTGGTACCGTATTTTCGCGAAATAACGGGCATGGGCGTTATTTCGAAAATTGTAACCCTTAAAAATAACATATATAGCTTCGAAATAACACTCATGCATGTCCTGAAATAACGCACACCCAATATTAAGAAGTATTTATTTATTATAATATTAAAAAATGCTTCGAAACTAAGTTTGATACAAAGTAAG